CTAAACGAAAAGCTGGCACCCAGTGAACGTGAGGCACCAACGGCATCAGGGGTGTGTCCTCGACCAGGTGCTCTTCTCCAGCTACTTCTTCAACTGAAATGTGATGGTGAAAGCTTTACACTTTTAAGCGCAAAGCCGCGCGCTCTCTGAACCAAAAAGCTGAAACTCGACAGATCCTGCAGAAACTCTTCGCCCGGCGCTGTTTTCGCTTACCCGGAGAAGCTCTCAGGAGCAAGTTCTCGGTCTTCTTCACAGCAGCTTGGCGAAGTCAGCAGAGGCTCAGGGGAGCTTTTCGTGGATCCTCGCGACGTCAGGAGGCCCCTGCTGGCTTCACTGTGTTTGTGGACGATTCCGATGTCTTCGAGGAACAGGACGCCGTGGGAAGCATAGGTGAGCAATGCTCGAGCTCGCTCGTGAGATTACCTGCAGTCATCATCGGAGTGAAGCACGGACATCGCACACCATGACGACGTCGGCAGTTAGACCCAAGTTGTGTGGCAGCCACCAGCCTCTGGTCTTAGTATATCCAAATTTGAACTTAAAGCTTTTGAACCCTAAGAACCCCTAACGCTAAACCCTAGACCCATAAACCCTCAACCCTAAACCCTAAACCCTGACTGCTGCTGGTGGAAAAAGGTGTTTAAAAAAAACCCTAAACCCTAGGCCCTAAACCCTAAGAGCCCTAAGAACCCCTGAACCTCGGAAGGGTCTTGCACTTTGAACACCGGGAGGATGGCGAGCCACAACTGCGGGAGATGCTGGAAACCGGGGGATGGGCCTGGGCTTCCGTTCCCGAGCACCAGGCGTGCGGTCGCTCTTAGATTAGAGTTTCTTTAATTTCGGAAAGACAGCTTGTGTTTTTTCTCTTCAGAGGCCTTCGAGATCGCCGCCTGGCTGTGCTGCTCTGCAAGGACGGGCGAAGTAGTCGCGAATTCCTGTGCTTTCGGGTTGCGGTCTTTGTGAGTCTTGGTTCAGCACTTTACAGCACTCTACAGTTCTGAAGAAACAGCTGCTATAGCAGGCAGCCGAGCTCATTCGGCCGCATGCTGGCCTTCGTGAAGCGGGCGCACAACGTGCTGAAACTCCTGGGAAGCCTGTTTCAAAAGGGCATGAAGTTCCTATGTGTGTGTGTATGTATATATATATATATACATAGATTAGATATATGAATGAATCACTCGGATGAAGCTTCCCCCTATTGGCGTCAAGGCAAGAACAAAGGCCGGCTGGTTCCCTACTGTGAATCGGAAGACTGGATTCGCAGGCCAGCTTGGTTGGAGATGCTCCCGGAAAAAAGCGGCTCAGTGCTCCCTTGCATGCTGTCAGGAGCAACGTTCTGCTGCGCGCACCAACAGGTGTCGACATTGGGGAGAGATACGCCGCAACCCCTGAGATTCTCTGCATGGCGACAACTTGAGGGCCTTTTTTTTCTGACGCCAAGGTTGCCGATGAGAAAGTCCTCTGTGACTGCCTCCACCATCTGCTAGTGGATCAGCAGGGATGGCTCGGGATGGCGGACATTAAACGCCTCTTCCGTTCCTTGCTGAACGGAACTTGACCATCCTCACGTCCTCATGTGCAGTTGACGGCAGCTGAGGTAGTCGCTTCGGTGCCGAAATTAGCGAGACAGCTTTCGGATGCGCATCGATGACAGAGCTGCTGTCGCAGCCGTTCATACGGGCTCGCTTCTACTTTCAACCAGAATCACGGTGGAATGTTTAGCTGTGTTTCGCGGCGCTCATGGCTCAGCATCGAAGATCGGCAATCTGCGCAATCCGAAACTAAGGATTGGGAGCGTGGCTGTGGATATCTCAGCTTTTCGAAGAAGATGCCGCGCCGGCAACAATGCAACATCCGCACCCTTCAGGAATCGTCGCACTGTGCATTTGATGCCTTGTTGGCACTCCACGGTCCAGTCAAGACTTGCATTGCTGCCCGGAGGACAGAATGACGGTGCTGCGCCACTCTGAAGCCGCTGTCGGCTCGGTGCTGAAGTCTTGTTCTCATGCGGCATCGGCAGCCACATATGACACAGCTCCGGAGGAGGAGCATGAAATGCTCTCGTGGCAGGGGTTGCGCGCACTGTCTCCTATGTACATCCCTGCGAGTCATCTCCAGACTCCGCCACCACGAGCCCTGAACTTGGGTGGATGTGGAGATCCTGATCAAGGAGATCTTCTCACGCTGCCGGGGAGGCCTGGGCTGGTGACAGTGGGAGTATATATGATGCAGGGCTGCCACA